CGGCGGCCACTGCTGCAGCGCCTCCGGGAGCGCCGGCGCTGGGCTATGGCTACCACTTCGGCAACGGCTACTATAGCTGCCGCATGTCGCACGGCGTGGGCTTGCAACAGAATGCGCTGAAGTCGTCGCCCCACTCCTCTCTGGGAGGCTTCCCCGTGGAGAAGTACATGGACGTGTCCGGCCTGGCCAGCAGCAGTGTACCGACCAACGAGGTGCCCGCGCGAGCCAAAGAGGTGTCCTTCTACCAGGGTTACACGAGCCCCTATCAGCACGTGCCCGGGTACATCGACATGGTGTCCACCTTCGGCTCCGGGGAGCCTCGGCACGAAGCCTACATCTCCATGGAGGGCTACCAGTCCTGGACGCTGGCCAACGGGTGGAATAGCCAGGTGTACTGTACCAAGGACCAGCCACAGGGGTCCCACTTTTGGAAATCATCCTTTCCAGGTAGGGGCAATGGAGGAAAAGGGAGGGCAGGAGGGAAGGGGGCGAGAAGAAGAAAACAGCTAGGAGCGTGGGTCCCTGTGTGGGAGTGAGTGTCTGCGCTCCACGCCTGGTCAGAACTAACCCAGGGGATAAGTTTGTCCCATTCTTGTGAACTCTGTAATATCCTCCTACCATATAAATGGCCTCACAATCCTTTGCTTCCTCTGAGTGATGCAGGTGCATGTTTCTTTCTCCTAAAATTGAGGGTCTTTGGATGTCCTTTGGTAAGGTGTCTGCTGAAGAGGCCTCTTTCCTAAGAGGTGTCACAGAGCTGGGGCCCCACTTTTCAAGGACGATGTAAGGGTGACCACAGAAGCTTCTTAGAACCCACAATTCCAAACACAAGAATACAGGAATCAAAGCATGGGCAAAGGGTCTGACTGTGTGTGAGTGTGAGTGTGAGTGTGTGTGTGAGTGTGTGTGCGTGTGTTTTAATGTAAGTAACTGGCTTTTGCAGAAACTGTCCTTATGAGTGTCCTCAATAACTAGGCCATAAAATCACAGGCTTGTTAAGATGCCCATTGGAAAAACCATGATGATCCATCCAATTAGCACTTGTTTTGAAGAGCAAATAGTCTCTTTTTAAATAATGTATAATTAATATCATTGTGTAAATAATAATAAAGTGTAAAGAGCCTGGCTTTATTCTCTATATTCCACCAAGCACTTGCTCACACAGACACATATACTCACCGAGAGTTCTCAGCTAGGTGCTCCAAATATCCCAGTCTAACTTTTCCCATGCTGTTGTTTGTACCAGGGGATGTGGCTTTAAATCAGCCAGATATGTGTGTCTACCGACGGGGAAGGAAAAAAAGGGTGCCTTACACCAAACTGCAGCTCAAAGAACTGGAGAATGAGTATGCCATTAACAAGTTCATTAACAAGGACAAGCGGCGGCGGATTTCAGCTGCCACAAACCTATCTGAGAGACAAGTGACCATTTGGTTTCAGAACCGAAGAGTGAAGGACAAGAAAATCGTCTCCAAGCTCAAAGATACTGTCTCCTGATGTGGACCAAGCTGACCACAACTTAATTGCTTTCAGTTGTCTCCAAAAGACCTTTGTAAAGACTTGAATATATATTTAATTCCTCCTCCCACCCGCTGCCGATGATGGCAAATTTTGTGAATTGTTTTTCTCTCTTAACCCTCACCTGACTCTAAAACCTTTTGCTGCCCAAACTGACTTCGTAGTTCTGTTTCTTACTTGTTTATTATTGGTTTTGTTTTTGTCTATGTTTATTTTTTTATGATGTTTTAAATGTTCTGTTTCTCCCTCCAGGCCAGTACAAAGGACTTGAAATATTTTTTTAATAATTCCTCCAATGAATTTCAGAAGTGCCATTGTGATTTAAGAGTTTTACTTTTTAAAAATCACTTTATTTGTCCATTTCCAGAATTGATTGTCTTTGTAATCCATTAGGGCAGAACGATTCACAGTCATTCATATCCTGATTGGGTAATTGAATCACTAGCTCTCAGCAGTTGTCCTGGAGCAAGTGAAACTGCTCTAGGTAATCTGTGCTCTGGGGTCACCCAGAACTTTAGAAAACAAGAGGCTGAAGGTGCTGTGATGGCTCTAAAAGCAGCCACCTTATTAAATAGTGTTTGTGTCAGTATTAGAATGAAGACAATCTTCACAACTTTGGGTCCCTCACTTGCTGTTTTAGTTGTATATTTGTAATACACCTTGCAATTTGTGCTTTTATAACCTTTAATTTGAAAATGATATGTCTTCATGGATGCCTTTGTTTCTCAGAATCCAGATAAAGATATTTAAGTAACTGCAATTGGCAGAGTAACCCATGGATGATATAAATGCATTCTTTTCCTTGGCCTCCAGTCTGTAGGACTAGGACTGAGGACTTTCTCAGTCTCTGCAAAGACTGAGCCATTGAGGCCATAGGTGGAAACTTGATTGAGAACCCAATGAAGAATTTAAGTATCTGAATGAATGCATTGGGCCTCTCAAAGAGCTTTAAACATCTAACAAATTTTAAAACTATGAAGCTGCAAGGTTCAAGAAGGGGAAAAAAGACATTTGTGAAAGTGATGCTAAAGAACTACTTTTAAAGTGCTGCATATTTATACAACTGAGAGATTATTTCTGTAGAGGCAATGTCTGTGAGCTGGTATACCTGAGCAGTGCTTCAGGCACTTAAAAATCACTTTTTACTCCTAGGGAGAGCCAAATAAACAAAATTCTCTTATTTCTTCTGAGTCTTTATACATATGTGTTCTCTTTTTTTCAAGTTTGTGTTGCGTCTGGAAACTGTTCTTATTTATTATAAAATGTTGCTGTCCTGAGCAGTATGATGTTCTCTTTAGATGAAGGAAACTCAGCACCAGCTCTGATCTCTGAAACCTCCACTCTTGGCTCTCCAAGTCTGCTCCCCACCCCTTGAACAAAAGTGATGTTTGAAAAGAAGATATCATTTGCAATGTCTAAAAATATCTTTTTTACCATACCAGCTGAAAAATGTCTCCAATAAAATGTCATTTCTCTTTTGATATTATTTATTTAGAAAGTTTTATGCATTTTTAAAAATCAGTAAGTATTAGTGTGCCCAAGTGTAGGAAAACTCATTCCCTTGGAAATTTTCAATCTAGAAAGGCCTGTTATAAATATCTTCACTTACAAAGGTCTTGAAATTAGAAAGCCATATCCATATTTGGCAATCGAAAAAAGAAACATTTCAGCCTCATCTCCTATCTTCTTTTCTGGGTAGTCTCATACAGCAATTGACAACTGGAAACACAAATATACATCCTAACTGCTCGACAAAATTTTTAGACGTTAAGAACTTTCTCTTTGAGGCCTTTTTTACTACTCAGAAATGGCCACTGAGGAACCTGAGCACTCACAACAGTTGTGAGCTCCTGGTACAATTTAATGGGTGCTAACTTTCTGTTATGTGAGTTAGTTCCAAAACACAGATTTTTTAAATCTCACACAGCATGTAAACTCTGGCGGGAGGGTTCCCTTAGGGTTCTGAGAGAAAGCACAGGGACCTACAGTTCTGGGACGTACTTTCGTTTTCTCCGGCCCAGCTTGATTTCTTTCAGATATTACTGCCGACTGCAGAGAGCCAAATTCGTTTTGAGAAAGACAGGGCCAGACAGAGACACACTGACACAGAAGAGCGATTAAATCTCTGCTGAAGAAAAACTCCTGAAAACGGGGCCACACAGTCCCCGAAGTTATACTTTGGGAAGGGTCGCTAAGACTTTCGGTATTTTTCTCACAGTTTGCATTTTCATCAGAAACGAGCCTGTTTTTCTTTCTTCTAGTCTCCGTCTGCCTCTTTCCCTCACTTCTTTTTTGTAAGCTCCAGACTCCTGGGCCGCACTCCATTTCCCGGATCCTTTTCTCAGGTTTCCCATGGTGGGTTAGAGGGGTCTGCACCGAGCTTTTCCTTTCATCTGTACTTTGCACGTCAATTTCCCTCCGCCTAAGAGAAATGTGAGGTTAGCTGAAGATTAAAACAGCTCAAATGCTCTCTGGTGGAATCTGGATTGACGGCTAAATCAATAACAGATGAAGGCTTTGTTATTTTTTTTTTGTGTTTTTTTCATATTCCGACCTGCGGAGGGCTGGACCGGAGTGCGGCAAGTGACCTGGGCTGGAGGGTGGCCCAGTGGAAGCCGGCTAGGCAAAGAGATTTGGGGAGTGACCTCTCTTGGTCAGAGACCGAGAAACCGCTCAGCGGCAGATTTTCAGCGCAGCGGGTGGGGACTGAGGCCCGGGCGCCTGTGCGTGGTTCGAGGCAAGAGTAAAACTTGCAACCGGAACTCCAGGCCAGACAAAGAAGCTGCTGCAACGCTTCTAGCAACCCGCTGGGCCCCTTGGCTCCTCCGGCCGGGTCAGCCTTGCCGCCCACCTCCGGCTCTCAGAGGCTGTCGGCCGCGCCTGGCAGCGAGCCTTGACCGCTCAGGCTGGCGACCCCAGGCCGCCGCACCGCCCTTCACTGTTGATCTTGACCGTGCTGCGGCGTCTCGCCAGGCGTGGAGCGCGCTCGCCATCTCCTGGGCGGTCGGCGGCATTGGCAGAGTTCGCCTTTATAGCTTCTCGGCCAAACGCTCCTTTCCCATTCTCTCTCACCCGCCAGGCCTCATACACGACCCCCACCTCCCTCGGGTCCTTCAGCTCCCTGCTTAAGACTTTGCCTGCCAGAGTTGAAAGTCATAAACCTAGGGGCTGAGGTGGGGCGGCTGGGCAAGGAGCAATGGAGGAAATCTAGCTGTTCTAGTCTTTTCCACTTTGCATTTAGCTCCTTTTTGCGTTTAGTCCCGAGGGGCAAACAGCTGCGGTTACAACTGCCCGATGAGTCCGAAAGAGACACCCGGGGGCTTGGAAATACCCAGGAAAGCTTTGCGTTGAGACTCGAGGCGAGGACACCGAGGGACCCCTGAACCGGAGATTTCAGGCCTGAGAAGGCAGCGGCTCCTGGAAAATTGGACGAGTTTCCCAAAATGAGAGATATCGGGCACCAAGGCCTGAGTTGCCCTAAGTCTTTAGGAACTGGGGTTGCAGTTTTTTGCCTACCCCACCTGCTTTGGAAGGTCGGGGAGTAGAATCGTCTAAGCCTGAGCTCCTACGGAAACTCTTAACAGTGCCCTGACGAGCCCCTGACTTCCCCACCC